TTTATTAGATTTAAATGAGAATTTGACTTTTAATAGGACACAAGGAGAAAAAGGATTCATGTTGCCGACCCCACGTAGTGGGATAAAGGCTTGATGTTGTTGTTAATTTACTTTATTTGACCTTATGTAGTCATTTCATTAATTTATTTACATGGAGTATTTTTTATGCTCTTTGTAGCATTGTTGAATGACATCTACAAATAAATAAAGTAATTATTGAACTGACTACCTCCATCTTAGAAAAGAGCGGCTCTTCTAATGAAAAAATTCACATATGAGTATCTATATTCGATAGGACATATGCAGGTCATCAGTTCGTAGAGGACATACTTGTTGGTCATTTGAAACAATCTTATCAATGCTTTTGGTTATAAATTGGGAATTGGGATTTTTATGTGTCTCGGAGTTATACTAGTGTGCTTCATAGTTTATTGAAATATTAGTGGGGTGGGGGACCATGCTCATAGCTACAAATAGCTTTTTAAGTTTTTTCAACATTCACTAGAAATGGTTAGCAGGCACTTCAATTAAATGTTACAGGCTACTGTGTCTTTTTTAAAGGAGTTCATTAATTTCTCATCACTTGGCATAAATTGTCATCTTTTCATACATTAAAATGACAGTTTCAACTTTATTTCAAAAATGTAGTGGGTGCGATTGGTGGTATACATATTTTTTTATGGTTAGTAGTCATATGAAAAATCAATAACGTAATCGAAAAGGTTGTCTCAAAATGTGATGGCGGCGGTGTCCTTCAACAAATAATTTGTGTATATTGCTGGGTGGGAGGGCTCATTACATATATGCATATTCTTACATGAACAGTGGATGAGGGATAATTTTAAGTATCACATGATAAGTACGACTTGGTTGACTTCAGTTATGCAACACTGATAAACTTATCGCACTGTTTCAAGGTTATTGTTATCACCTAAGTGATTATCATGGAAATACCTTTAAAAGATATGCTTTTAAGCATGAGTTATTTAACCGTCAGCATACATAGTTGTGTAGCATAATCAAGAGAATATTTAGGATTGGAAGGATTGATTTTAAGTTCCAACTCACATGCAACAATTTCCTTTTAGTGTTCAAGCATGCATCATACTTGCATGTGCAGTGTTGCACAAATTTATTGGTCACTAGCGTGCATACAATCTCTACTTCAATATGCCATCAACTGCAATGCAGCACGATACTTAGATTGATGAGGTAGAATTGACTGATGAAGATCTTAATGTACATGTAAAAATGAGTGAGAGAATTCAAAGGGAAGCTAGATATGCAATTTCTATTGATTTTTGGGAGGCTCGGGTAAAAATATTGATTATGTTAGTAAAAATTGAATTAAAATTTAAACTATAAACAACTTACAATTTTTTTTATTTCAAATGCCACTTAAAATAATAAGATCACTCCAAACTGCAAGTTATATCCTATTGCCCTCATTATCGAATCACATATAAGATATTGATGTCCACTTCTATTTAGTCAATTTGTTCATCTAAACATATCTTCTATTTACTCGTCATACTTGTCACCATTTTTGCTGTAAGAATTTATGTGTTCTTGTTTTTAGATGTGCGATCCGTAATTTATTTCTAAAGCCTTATCTATCTTAATTATGTGATGTATTCACTTCTCTCATGTGCATTATGCATTGTTTCACATTTAAATTCTTAAATTAATTGTCATAAAGCCTAAACTGAGTTGTCAAATAATTTATCAAGATTTAGCACGTCATGCTAAAGAGTTTTCAGAGGGTTTGGTTAGTTAGAAATGCATATGAAAGGGTAACAATCTTCAGTAGGTAGTGGCAAATTAATGAACTCTTTTGATAACGGCATGATAACTTGTAGAGCTTGATTGGAGTATCTATTTATTGTTTCGAGTGAATGTTGAAAAAACTCATATAGTTTTCTGTAGCTATGAGCATGTGTTACCCTCCAAAGAAATATGCCTAGTTCTTCAGTTGCGATCATATTTTTCATATCATTAAACAAAATGTGAAATACTAGTAGATCTTTTAGATGTACAAAAGCCTTGACTGTTAATCTGAAGTATGGACGATATCACATTTGATGACCAACCAGCACATCCTTTACGTACTAATAACATGTGTATGCCCTATCAAATATAAATCTTCTTATGCGCAATTCTTCTACGGAAGAGTTGCCCTCTTCAAAGATAGATGGAGTTAGCTCGACAATCACTTTATTTATTTTTAGTTGTGATCAAACAATGCCGTAAAGAGCATCATAAGTACTCTATGTAAAAATAATTTTCTATGACTGCATGATGTTAAACAAGGTAGATTAAGCTATTTATAAATCCTAAAAACACTTGGAAAAACATAAAAGCATTATTCCAATTTGATAAAAGCACATATTTCCAAGGCTTTTAAAACCGGACCGGTCAATGAACCGGAAGAAAGAGGGGTTAGAGGTTTGATGGTTCGACCGGGGTCGAACCGGGGTCGAACCGGATGACGTAATAAATATTTATTATATTTAAATATTATAATAATGACACAATTATCCGGCCGGTCCGGTCCGGTTTTAAAAGCCTTGCATATTTCATAAGAACAAATATAATATTTTTGTTAAGTCATCACATGATGTAATATAGAAAAAAATTTAATGGATGTTAAACTCATTCTTGTGCAATACAAAGTAAAAATATAGACCACTTTCCACATCAAAGATTTTAAACAAATAAAAATTGAGCATGATAGTCCAGATGCTGAAAGTAAGTACTCTTTAAAAGCTACTCACAACTATGCCGATGATACATAGAAACATGGATGTCAGCTTACGATGCACTCTATCCAATTTTGTAGTAGATGACCATCCCAGGTTATTAGGGTAGCCTTATTATCTTTGTTTTCCTTAAGGGCATCATAAATTGCAAGGATTGCTAGAGTTATGTTCTCATTGTTGTCTAATTTTTCAAACACTCCATCTTCATGTAAGAATTATTTCGTATTAGCAGCTTCTTGAATATGACGACACTCATTTGATTATACTAAAAAATTATTCAATATTACAAAAAACACTAATAAGCAAATTACCAGATATAACAACAAAAAGTGTAAGTGAAAACATTATATACAGGGGATATTTCAAAACAATAAAAGTACACATTAGTTATTTGTATTTAACGGGATAATAGAATGATAGAGTTGCACAATAAATTTAAAGCGCTTTGTTTAAAATCAAATAACTAATGCTATACATTTGTTAATTACATAACAAAGCTGAAAATTCATGAAAAATAACATGTGACTCTACGTCTATTGCAAGCATTCCATGGGATTAGAATCAAACCATGGCAAATCTGAGCCAAAAAAACCTTCTCAATAATGATCGGCTATTGTTTGATGATCATTCTTGATTTTCAAATTGGAGGACCCTATCTACCCTAGTGAAAATGACCAATTAAAAAAAGTTGGGTAGATTGTCTACCTTCTTTATTGGAGATGACGAATGAGGAACAACAGTAGCTTATAGTCGAAAGTCTCAAAGATGATGGTGTGAGATTGCATTAATGGTAGGGTGCAGTGACAGTATGCAATCTCTTCCATGGATAAGGATTTCCAACACACTTGTTGACAAGAACTCGGGACAGCTTCTTTGTGCTCGTGTAAAACCTATTAAATATGTCGAAGGGATTCAATAAATCTTGGATTTATGACAAAAAATATTAAATCCTGGATTTATGACAAAAAAATTAAATCCGGGATTTACAATGGGGTGGTATTTATCCTGAACCATTTGGTAGGATTTATGGAAAATCATGCTTAAAACCTTGCTACCAGACAGCCCCTAAAAATATTTTGAAGTTGTATAATTTTATTTTTCTTCAGAATTTCAATTTTCTTTTGTGGGACTTTAAGTAAATTGTTTATTTTATTTTATCAGGTTCTTATTCAATGCATATGATCAAAACTCTTGACAGTTGAGTTATGTTTTGACTTGAGGTTATTTAAGTTTTGTTTAAATCATAATTTCTGTAGTCTCTTATACTGAAAATTTTAGTGTATTTCAGTAGTCAGTGTTGATTAGACCTCTATGATGGTCCATATTGTTTTTTAGATATCCTTTGCCTACCTTTAACAAGGGGTAGAAAATCTTCCTATTATCAAGTAGCTAAATTAATCTTCCTAGTAGTCTAAAAAACAATATGGACTACTTCAAGGTTGTTTGTTTGGTTGTTTTTTTTAACTTTTGAAGGTTTGTCCTTCTCTAACTCTTTATGGTTAAAATTCCCTCATCAATGGTTAAAACATAATACTGATTATGTTTTAAATTCCCTTATCAATCCATTACTTAAGCTGTGTTCAAAATTTAAAATTCTAATATGGTATACTTCGGGAATATTTATTTTTAATCTTGCAACTCCTTATACGTACTAAATTTATAGGAATTTGTTGAATTTGAAATCTATTTTGAAATTGTTTCTTCTGTATCTACTACTCTGCTATTTTTCACAACTAACCAAGTCTCAATGTTTGAGAATATTTAATTAAGGTTAGCAAGGTCCATATTGAAAATCTTTGTAAGTTTATGTGTGGTATGATTAGGTTTCATTTGATTACATGAGTAAATCATGCCCCTGCCTGTGCATGAAGAGCAAGACAATCTAACATTATGGGTTGACTACATGTTTAATGGATTGAGGGTTTTATTCAACCTATAATATGTAAAATATTATGCTACTCAAGTCCGCTGCCTCAGACCCATTCATTAAAACTTCTAGGCAATTTGCACTTCAAACTTTTGTTTGGATTAATGATGAATGGCCATAGCTGCGTAGTCCTGTTTAACATGCTAAAAGAAAAAAAATTAGCATACCAGTGAAGTACATGCAGACCAAGATAAAATCATTTTTTGTTGGCTGCGTTGCATATGTTTCGGGGATTTCTATATAACATCAAATTTTAGCATAGAATTTGATTAATATCATAATTTTTTAAATTCTTCGTAAAAGAGTCATGACAGTTTCTCATGCAGGCTAAAATTGGAGCTCAGAACTTCATACTTGTACACAGCATTTTCTTGGTATTCGTTGCAAGTGTTATCAGCCATGGACCGAGCACCAACACTAGAAATATTAGGTATTACTACTTTATTACGGATTGGTCCCCAAAATCAGGTTATTGTTTATTTATATTTGCCTTCTTGGTTTCTCTGTGTTTCTCTTCAGCTCGAGAACCTGAAGGATTCTCCATTTGGAATGGGCCTCCATTCAATAATGGTCAACCAAATGTCAAACTTGAGAGAGTTTCTTGCACTGCTGCGAAGTACTGTGAAAGCGGTTCAAGGCTTATGGTGATGGAAAGTAGCTCATCAATTTGTGTTTATGATTGCAACACTTCCACGAAGATCAAATCCTTTGATATCCCTGCTGTTTCTGCTTCCACTCTGTCCCCATGTGGAACTTTTATCCAGACATTCCAAAAATCTACTACACCACAAGAGAAGAATGTGGTACTCTGGCTGATAGAAAATGGAGCTGCTGTTTATCAGCACTTTCAGAAGAATATGACTAAAACCACATGGTGCAGTCAACCATTCAACAAATTAAGTCTTGACATCTACACATTTTAGTATGAAATTATTCACTTCTCTTGCTTATTTATGCATTCTACAGGCCCGCAATTCAATTTAGCTCTGATGAATCCATTGCCTGTCGGATGGTAACAAATGAGATACAATTTTTTGATGGGAAGGATTTTACCAAAGGAATCATATATAGGCTGAGAGTACCTGGTGTGATGGCAATAGAGCTTTCAAAGACTCCTGGGTCTCATATTGCTGCATTTGTTCCAGAATCAAAGGTCTCTTATCATTTGGTTTGTAAAATTTTGTTGGACTATTAGGTCTCTGACATCGCATATACGCCTGTTAGGGTGTTCCTGCCAGTGTCCAGATCTTTTCTTGTAAACAAGATGCGCAGGCTCATCCTATTGCTAGAAGAAGCTTCTTCCGGTGCTCAAGCATACAACTACATTGGAACCATGGTTCTACAGGTCTTCTAGCTGTGGCCCAGTCTGATGTGGACAAAACGAACCAGAGTTATTATGGAGAGTCTAAGTTGAACTACCTGACAACCGATGGCAGTCATGAGGGACTTGTTCCACTTAGTATGTTTTCGTTTCTTTTCTATTGTCATAGATTTCCTTTTTTTTTTTTTTTATGTACGAGGTCAGGATCATTGATCTTTGGAGCATTTGTCAGGGAAGGAGGGTCCCATTCATGATGTTCAATGGTCACCCTCAGGTTTGGAATTTGCCGTTGTCTATGGATGTATGTTTTTCTTTCCCTCAAACTTTTCCTTGCTTGCTCTGATTTTTATAGGTTGATTTAAGCTTATTTTTTTCTTCATTTGTCTCAGTTGTTCCCTCCAGAGCAACGATATTTGACCACAAATGCCGCCCATTGCTTGAGCTGGGTTCAGGCCCATACAATACAATCAGATGGAATCCGAAAGGGAAATGTATCCTTGTCTGGAAAATTGTCTTGTTTCCCAAAAAACAATTCGCTTTGCAAGTTAAAACTTGGAGGGAAATTGATTTCAAGCTTTTTTATGAATTGATTGGTCTAGTGGTAATGGGTTTAGCCTTATTTTTTTCTCTATTCATACATGTTTCTTTGACCATTGGAACAGTTATATGTTTGGCAGGATTTGGCAACTTGCCTGGTGATATGGTATGTTGATTGTACTTTGAAGCTTGACAAGGATTGTCTTAATATCTATTAAAGTGTTTGCACCTATCCTTATAATAATATAATTTTTCTGCTACTTCCATTAAACTATCATTTACATGAAGATTTAACTGTCTACCACATGATTAAACTATAAAGATTCAAAAATGTATTCGAACAACAGTATCATTATTAGGAAGAACACTAATACATATTTTTCCCTGCCAGCTTATCCATAAAAAGATTATTTATAGGCATGGAGTTCCCGCTAATGCAAGGTATAAGGAGGGTTTCTTGTATGTAGACTTACAGTCTCACCACAAAATTTTTAGAGAGACTGTTTCCAATGTGAATGCTTTGCTAGGATTGAAAAGTTCAACCTATATGAAAAATTGTATGAAGTGAGAGAGAAAGAGAGGGAAAAGACTATGTAGATGTAGATATGTGTATAACTGAAATTTGTAGACTAGGGGAGCGAGGAGATGTATTTTCTAGTGTGGGAGGGAAGAAAAAAAGGAAATTTAGGAGATCTCTATAAAATATTGGGATTCCATTGGTGGAAAAGATCCTCCCGCAGTGGAAGAACATTGGAGTGCAATGAAGAGGTTGGTAGCAGGGAGGAGAGCAATAAGAGAGTTATGACGTGAAATAAGGTTCGTCTTGTGAGAACTGAAGTTTGCTAGGAGCAGCTGTTTTCCTAGCAGGAAATTTGAAGCGACTTCTTGCCAACACTCTCAATTGTGATGCCAAAACCATCCTTCCCATTGGGCGGCAATGGGTGTTTTATGTTTGGGCTATTGTTCAGTGATTGTTTTTATATGAGAATGGGTTGAGTTTTGTCAGTCTGAGGTCAAAGCAAGTTTTATTTGGCATGGCTTCTTCAAGGCCAAACCCAACCTTTCATGTGGAAACTAGAGCCCATAATCTAAATATTTTAGGTTGGTATGCAATGAACTTTGATTGTTAATTGCACAAGAGTGCATTTCTGCCTAAAAACATTATTGTGCAGCTTTAATAAATGTAATAACCCCCTTTTCTATACTCATTTTTTTAATTCTATGTCCTTGGTGGAGATATTATTTTTCGGGAGTTTCTTTAGGATTCTTCATAATTTGATCTATTTAAATCCTATTTCAGGCATTTTGGGATTATTCAGAGAAAAGATTAATTGGAACCACAAAAGCAGAGTGCTCTGTTAGTAGTGAATGGTCTCCAGATGGACTCTATTTTATGACTGCTACAACGGCACCAAGGCTACAAATAGACAATGGGTAATTTATTTCATTTCCTTAATTTCATCAATATCTCGGTTAATTTTGCTGATGTTGTCCTGTTTCCCCTTTTAAGGATTAAGATCTTCCACTATAATGGGTCTTTATATTTTAAGAAAATGTTTAACAAGTTGTACCAGGTTAGCCTTGAGACCATTATCTAATAATTCCTTACTTGATTTCCTCTCCACTTATTTATGATTAACTTCACCTAGACATGTAGGCTGATTGGAAGCCGGAAGCACCTGAAAAATTTGGCGATATTATGGATCTTGTCAAGTCTGTTTCCATCATAAAGATTGATGAAACAAAAACACAAGGTTGGAAAAAACAGCTATTATTATGCTCGTTTTAAAAAAATCACTTTGGCTTAGGTTGATATTGTGATCGTTTCATTAAAAAGTTCGAAGTCATCACAAGCTTTTTCCATATTTGCAGCAAATACATCGCAAGCAGCAGCCAAGGTTTCCATGAACACATCACAAGCAGCAACAAAGGTTTCCACAAATATAATGCAGAAACCTGTAGCATATCGTCCACCACATGCTAAGAATGCTGCTGCTGTTAAGGCAGAGGTATGTTTATTGTATAATTACTAATTACATGCTGTTAAGTAAATATAAATTCTGAAAATATTGAGACTGATTAGTAACTAACACTTCGTTTGGGGTTGCTTGTGCTGTTTTCACTTTTGTTTTTTAAAAACTACTTATCCAACCACAATTTCTATATCCTTCCCTAAAATTGAGTCTAGTTTCGGATTGTTTGTTGCTTCCTTTATGGAATTTAATCATTTGTGCAGTTTTTCGCATTATTTTGGCTTTACATATTTTCTAAGCTCTTTAAGAACAATTTGTTTAACTTTCCCAACTTTCATTCGAAACTACATCTTTCCATATAGTCCTTGTTGAGAAGTCATTCTTAAAAATATTATATGAGGTTGTACTAATATTGAAAGCCTATACTCTTTTCTAACAATGACAAGAAGCTTTAAGCTAGCAAATTTTGTTATATTACTACCACCTGTAACTGTTCTGGATATAGCTTATTATTATTATTATTATCCTATAAAATCATCACCGATATGCAATAACATCAAATATGAGCAAATTTTCATGATTTAGAAAGCAATTATGATGCCTATTGTTAAAACACTTGACATGCATTTGCGTGCCTGATCTACTCTTACCTTAACATTCTCAATCTACTGAGAACTCTATTATTTAAAGATAAAGAGTTGTACTGATTCTTACTTTCTAATGACAGCTTTTTGGAGGAATATCTTCTTCAGAGTAAGTTCATCGTACCTTTTTCTATTCATTTTTCAGCCATGGAACTGAATTTTTATTCTGTTAATTTCTTCACATCTACTATTTTGAATACAGAGAAATAAACAAAAATGCAATGAGAAATAAGAAACGCAGAGAAAAACAGAGGGAAAAGAAGGCTGCTGAAGCGTCCACTGCTGCGTCTGATGACAATTAATTGCAGATTTCCTATTTTTGTATTGCTTTGGCATTCTGGGAGTTGAGATCTTAGAGTAGGAGCTATAGATGAACAAATTCCCTTGACGAGTTATTTAATTTTTATTTCGGCAACGAATAAATTGAATATTTTTAATCTTAAGCATTCATCATCTTGAGACCCATGTGAGTTCACTAAATTCATCATCTTGTAATAATGTAGGTGATAATGCAGACATTTCACATACAAAAATTCATTATATTGTGAACGTGCAGGCCGCATGTGTTTGTGATTCGATTGATACTTTAAATCTTAAGCATTCATTAATTGTATCAACCCCAATTTGCGATCGATTTGAATGTAGCAATCAACTAAGGTTATCTAATTCTTCATTTACCTTGGTTTTAAATAGTGAATCCCATGAATCTAGTGTACATTGGTATTTTACTGATCACAATTTTTATTTGTTATAATAATAAAAAGAATGATTAGATGCCAGGATATTACTTTTTATACTAATATTGCATGTAAATGATTTTTTTTTTGGACATTTGGGTCATTTAAGACAAACTCACACACACAACGAATACACAGACTCGAACTCAAGACCTCTTAGTTGGAAGCATAAGCTCTCAACTAACAAGCCAAGATGAGCTGTGTGCATGCAAATGAAGGATAGCAATACTTAGCACATATGAGACGGAATCAGGACAAGGACTTGAGGAAGCTAAAAATTGAGAATGAGAAGATCATTGAAGACTAGTTGATCAAGAAGCAAATTGGGTCAGCATGTATTTTTTATTTTCTTTAGTCTTTTTGCATTTCAAATGTAAAGTGGGTTGAATGATCTAGAGCACACACAAGTACATGTAAAAATATACAATTTTAATCGTACAATCCAAATAAATATAGAGCTTGTTCGGACGAACCTTGTTAGGATAGGACAATCTAGTCTTCTGAGTTGGCAACTTGAACAAATCATATTGTATGATCAACCCAATACTTTACTTACTCAAACTTTTAGCTTAAGGGAGGACATGAGAAAGAGTTCAGAGATTCTTTACAATAACTTGAGAGTGAGAGAGAGGTTAGGGAGAACATAAGGGATTTCTGGATGGGTGTCCAAGAAATCTTTATGTGAGAGGTGCACAAGGCTATTTGTCCTAATTTATATCTTTATTCCTCAAATTGTTGTGTGTGAGAGCTCTTTAGAGAAAGAGCTTTGTAGAGTCTTTGTGTAGGATACTTTTGGTATAATTGAGGCGGCTTGGGGTTGTAGGCATCTTTGTTGTGCTAGGTATAGAAGGAGATAGGCTTATTGATAGACAAGTGTAGAGTGTCATAACCTAATCCAAATGACTCATAAATAAAACATGTCATATCATATTAACTTGTGACAAAATGAGCCTAAGATCAAAGTTTTTGGGGTCTTTTCATATTTCTTCCAAAAATTAAAACAGACAACATAGCTTCTAATTAACTTCTAATAAGTAGAAGAAAATATTCATCCACAATTATATATATATATATATCACTTATACACTATAGTACATGGCTATGACCAGAGCAAAGCCATTACATAACTAGCCATGGTCGTATATAATTTATAAAATACTTTACAGAATCAAACAAATGAGATCCTAAATATGCCACTACTAAATATGCTCTTTTTTCTTTCCCATGACCTAAAATAGAATCTATAATAGTTGTGAGTCAACACAGCTTAGTAGACCACACCTATCGATCTAAATTTTTAATAATTTACTTATTATGCATTTAACTGAATGTATATAAAATTTATAAGAAATGTATTATACTGAGTATAATATAATTATAGATATCAAATATTTGAAATAAAGTAGACTCTGCATTGAAAGTAAATAAATAAACACCTCTTATATAATAGTAGATAATAATAAATTTCTCTCAAGCCATTATAGCTCGCACTAGAAACAGATATTAGAATTCAAACCCTTATGACTCATTGTACTTTCATATCAGAAAATAAAGTCTTATGACTCCCAAATACTTAGCACATATTGGATATTTAGAAATTTAAGACTTCATGACTCCCTAAGCACCCAACTAGAGAGAGGGAGGAGGAGGTTTCTAGTGAGAGAAAGCTAGGTTTTGGGCAATTCTTGTTCATTTTTTGTTATCATCCTAATACTCAAAATTATCTTGATCAAGGTATGCTATATTTTTCCTATCTCAACTTTCAAAATTACAAAAATTTAAGATTTTCCATAATTTTAGAACTTGGCGCTGCGACGCTCGACCTTATCGCACTATAGTGTTCTCCACTAAAGAGACGTACGTCGTAGAGCCATAGCTTCTTCTTTTTTTTTTTAATGAAAGAGAGCTTAATGATGTAACACTGCCCACCATGGTTTTGTGACACTTCAGGAAAAAAATTTCAAATTTTAGTTTTAAGTATACAGACCCCCAAAACCTGTTTTAGAATAGATTCAAATATTTACATACATACAAAGCACTCATAGACACATGCAAGAGGTGTTAAATACATAAATTTAGTGAGTTGCCTTTAACAGACTGAGTTAGAACAAGTGAAATTAATTACTATTTTAATAGGTATTACAATCCTTCCATTTTTTTAGAAATATTGTCCCCAACATTTTAAAACTCTAGCAAGCAGAACAAATTGTGATATTACTCTTTCATTTCACATTCCTTCTCCTAAGTAGCATTCTTTATATTTTGTGTTTTCACTGTACCTTAATCATTGGGATATATTTATTTCTTAATTCTCTAACATCATACGCCAGAATATTTTTAATTCATCTTTATAGCTCAGATTAGGACATACCGTGACTTTATTTGTAGATATTCGATGCCTATAATCATATACCTGGTTCCTCATAGATGACACATGGAATTCATGATGGCATATCAAAAAATAGGTCCTTATGACTCCCAATGCCCAACTCATATCAAATATTCTTAATTTCACCACACATTAGATCTCCTCATAATCACACAACTTAAGTAGATAAGCATATATATCATTATATTGCAATAAAAGAAATGTAAAGAATCCAGTTTTAGAATTTCACACAAAGCTTCAATGGTAGGCAACAGAACTATTTACTCAACCAAATTTTCATAATTTCAAAACATTACTAGATTATCAAATATTATTCAGAATATTATTTCATAGTTTTAATTGAACTACAGTCTTATTTTTGGGAATTAAAATTTATTTTTAATTTTCCAAAAAATCTCATATTTTTTAATCAACTTAGTAAAATTTTTTAAAATATACATATAAATGTCCAAAACTATTGTATCTATAATATACAAAAAATTGTGTGGTAAAAATATTACCTGTATTAAATTATCCCAGCATTTTCCTAATAGAATTACAAATTAAATAAGAAAATTTTAAAATTCTTGTATTTTTTTAAAAACTAAGATAGAAAGATGTAACATACCTCAAGCCGAATAACAAGAAGAATTAAGTTGATAATAAAAAGTGGATCAGAGTCTCCAGACCCTAGCTATCTCCCCCTAAAAATCTTCTCTCTCTCTCTCTCTCAAGCCGACTGCCCAAATTAGAGAAAATAGATTTTAGAAAATTAGAAATGGATATTTTATTATTAAATTTGTATCTAATGCCATGACACCTAAACCTACATGACTCAGTGTTCCCCTTACAAGAGCAATGCGTCACAACATTGCCACTAACAACGCAACACTTTATTTATTTTTGCCAAAAATAGATATCTCAAAGTTGTGGCAGCGCTAGACCTAGTGTTGCGGCTCCAAAAAAAAAAAAGGATTTTCAAAACATGCGCATAGACCCCTGGAACCTACTTCAGATTAGATTCAGACAATCTTATAATTGCATAATACAAAGACACATGCAAGATATGATAAGCACTGAAATTTAATGAATTACCATTACCGAATTGGATCAAAATAGGTGCAACAATACACAAATTCACAAGTATTATAATTCTTCTCTCAAAAAAATATTTTCCTCAATATGTCAAACTTTGGTCAATAAAATAGATCAGGGTATAACTATCTTATCTTAGATTCCTTCTCCCAAGTAGTTGTTGTAAATCTGGACCCAAGTTTTGTGATTTTGATGATAATAAATATTATTGGATTCCTAACCATGCTACCTCTTGTTAATTATTAATATTGCATATCTTCTTTTATTATGCACTAAAATTTTAGGTCCATCATACACTGTGTAAAACTGATCATCTCAAGATTGGGTAGAATAGGTTAAAGTGTATGGAAGAGTTTGTAATTTTGCTTTTTATTACTTCTACATTTCTTGAGTCAAATTATGTATTTGATGAATACTAAGCTTGGTAATCATGCACACACACACACTCAAGGAAGTAAGTTAGTGACAAAATTAAAAGTTGAATTTTCTAAACTAATCATATTGTACGATCCATTTCGTACTATACGATAAGTTAATAAAAAATTATTAAAAAATGTATAATTATGAGAACTAATGCAATTTAAACTAATCATATAGGACAATCAGTTGAAATGAAGATCTAAATCACCAATCACAATTTAGAAAATATTTTAAAATTTAAACTAATCGTACCGTATAATAGGTATCGTACTATACAATGTAATTAAATATTGCCTAAATTAATCCTATAATTATAGAAATGATTTAGTTAATTTATCCAATCATATTGTACTGGATGATTGGAGATAATCATACTATACGACCAGATCCCTACAAAGGATGATAATTTATCATCACCAATCTTACGTGATAATAAAGCAAGTCATTCCAATTAATCGTACTAGACGACTCTTCATATCATACTAGACGATCAGCATAATTAGTTAAATTGATTGTATAGTGCTTTATAATTTGTACAATACTAATAGGGTGATTTGAACTAACTGTATGATCTTGGATCATACTATACGACCAGAGTCGCCAGAATTAAATTCTAGGGCTTTTTATGATGCTTTGTATTTAATCTCTTTAACTAGACTTATTTCAAGACTTTGGTTGCTGAGTGTTCTTGAGAGAGAGCTTGAAGAAGAAGATCTAGGAGAGCTTTGGGATGAAGAAAGGGAGAGCTTATGCATGAGGGAGAAGTAGTGTGAGGAGTTCAAATGGTTGCCCCAAGCAAGTGTCTTATCTTGTTCCTCCAAGTGTCTGTCTAAGTTTCTTGGGTGGCTTTGGGAAGAAGTTCTTCAGCTCAAACTCGTGGTTCTCTGCCATCACTAGGAGGGTGAGAAAAGAGTTTGTGGTTTTATGCCACCACCAGAAGGGTGAGAAAAGAGTTTGTGGTTCTCTACCATCACTAGGAGGGTGAGAAAGAAGGCCA